TAAAATTAAACATATTTGCTTCATATGCATATTTAACATGATTCAAATAATGCGAGTATTAAAATATATGCTTATAATACCTTTCCTGTATTATTTCTGCAATAGTATTGCAATGAGATACAAGGCTCTCAATTAAGTGATCATTGCATGTTTCAATTGGTTGTACAAGTGTTTTACAAATTTTACAAATTGAATCGCTGCCTACACATTGTTTGCAAAAAAAGTGGCCACAATTGGTGTATCTCATTGCATTTATTGGCTTATTTCCACTAAAACAAAGAAAAAATAAAGAAAATTATACGTATATTAATACATTAAACAAAGTGCTAGTTAAAAGTTATATTAATTTTGAGATATATCTTTTTAATTATAATATAATGTTAAATTAAATTAAATTTTAATACTGTCAAAATTGTGAATTCAAATTTTGTATATAAAATAAACAATAAAACTCAAAGATAAAATACACATGAATAATATGCGCACACGCATGTAAAAAAATCTAAAAAATAATGTAATATAAATCTTTTTCAATTGTTTTGATCAATATATTACCATTTATTACACTTCAATACATCCGCAAAATTTTTTAAAGCGTCACAAGTATTCTTCCACGAAGTGTTCATTTTCAATTATTATTATTTAATACGTTCCAAAAATTTATTATGTATTTCTTTTCCATCCATTGATATTTAACCATACTTCATTTAATTTTCACGATAATATATTGAACCATATTACATTTTTTTCACAATAATACATTGATTTGATTTTGTTGTTTCAATCATATGTTTTTTTAAAATACTAAAAACCTTCGTTTGTTGAAACGAGGCTAAACATACAAAGTTTAAAACCATAGCAGGATTAAATAGATGTTTCCCATTATTTTACTTTTAACAGTTGTCAGCGCATGTGACACTATTTCTTATACACAATATTTCATACACTTTTTTGAATTGCATACAAACTAAATATTGTATTTAAGTATTTAAAATATTCTCCGTGTTAAATCTTGAAATTATTTCTATTAGGTGAGCATTATTTTTCAGCTGTAATCCTAATAATAAGTTATTAAACAAAAGATAAAAAATTTTCGTATTGAAATTTCATATTGTATTTCGTATTAAAATTTTCATGTGAGGAAAACAAAATTTTTGGATTTTTACCTTAATTGTTTAAATCGTATTAGAACTTATTCAGCATTGAATAATTTCATCAAAAAGCCTAATAAATAAATAATGTTATTCTGCAAATACGCAATAAAACGGAAGTAGTAATACATCTAAAATGGAAATAATTCAACAAAAAATTAAAATTTTTTTCATTCAAAGATTTGTTTTTGAGAATTAATTTATTTTAATTTGGCTAATTTTGAACTAGATAAGCTTAAATAATTCTCAGAAAATTACTTATAAATTATAATTACAGTATTTAAAGAATGTATTAAATTATAAAATGCTAATTTTTTAAAAAAAAAGAAAAGAATCAATTAATGTTTAAAAAAGCTATCAATACTAAGGTGTATATTTTAATTATTTAAGAGCAATTATTTGCAAAATATATCATTTTTATTTAAATTTGCGAAAACGGTGATACATGATACAATGTAATATGATCAGCATATGTACATAACAATATATATATATATATATGTGTACAACATATAATTATAATAACTGTCAAAATATATATACATGATAAAGAAAATAAATAAATTTTTATAGAGAACTTATTGTAACAATGAAAATATTTTGTATACACGTGTCATATTAATTATTCTATACATAATACTTAATCACAAAATAGATAAAATACTACAAACATTTAATATTTATGTACAATTCCCATTTTTCTCTATAAATCTGTCAAACATGCAATTTATGCATGTCACAATATTTTAGAAAAAAATATAATATATTGATGCTTTTTATTCGAAATTATTCATTTGACAAAATTTATTATCTAAGAAAATGAAATTTACTAACAAAAAATTATTAAACTTGAAAACAAAGAGAAATAAGATACGAATATAAATTTCAATATTTCTTTTTTATAAATCTCCATCAAATTGTTTATAACTGTCACAAATAATTTTTTTACATCTTGTACCACATCGCATAATATCGAATAACATTATAATTGTCTTATTTTAAATCGTTATTTATATTTATTTCAATTAAAATAATAAATTTTCTATTACACACTATTTCTTTTATTTGATAATTATTTAAAAATCAAATATCCGCATTGATGAATCCTTAATTAGGAGTCATTTAGAAGTTACATTTTACTAAAATTTATAATAATTAAGCAATCTATGATAACTATAATTTTGTAAAATGACTAAACAGAAAAACTTTCTCCACATCCACAAGTTCCTTTGATATTTGGATTATTAAAAATAAATTCAGAACTTAATTTAGTTTCTACATAATCCATTTCTGTACCCAATAAAGATAACTGTGCCTTTTTGTCTATCATAATGCAAACACCATCTTGAAAAACTTCCTCATCAAGTTTAGATTTTTCTTTGGCATAATCAAGAGTGTAACTGAGGCCATTACACCCACGCTGTTTTACACTCACTCTTAGACCAATCTGAAATAGGAATGAGAAATAATTTTTATATATAATTTTGAGATTAATATAACACGCATGATATAAATCAGGTAAATTTGTTAAAAAAAAGGACTGTTATTAAAAATCATTTGAAGAAAAAAACACAAATGGAGATATTAAATTGTCTACTTACAAATTCAGTTTTATCTTTTAATAATTCTTTGACCTTTTTCACTGCATTAGGTGTCTGAAATAAGATAGTTATAAAATAAAAATCTGAAATATCTCTATTTATTTTAAAAATCATAAACGATTGAGGATTGTTTCAAAAATATAATTCTTAAAATTAAAAAATAAGTATTTCATTGAATGCTTACATTGATTATATAATTTGGAATGTATACATATAAAAAAAATTTTATTAAATAAATATAATCATTATTGTTTACATATTTAATAATAATACTATTTAATATTTGCATTTAATAAATTTAATATAGTTTCATTATTTTAGAAAAAGAAACTGATAACAGTTCTTATATTGTTAATTTGTCTTTTCATTTAATATTTAATCATTGCAAAATAAATCAAGTAATTTATAGTAATTTATAG